ACCCACTGGGGAGCGCCGGCACCCTGCCCCCATCACCACCGAAGCCTCTCCAGGAACGAGCCCATTCAGTGAAGAACAGATTTATGCCCTCCAGAAGATGCTCAGTCAGCTGTCACCAATCCAGCCTACTAGTGTGGCATCGGGTGCCACCGGCCTTGTTACCTATCAAGGGATTTCCCCATCCGCTTTTGTCTTGGATTCAACCTAGTCCAGCCTACTAGTGTGGCATCGGGTGCCATCGGCCTTGTTACCTATCAAGGTACTTCCCCATCCGCTTTCGTCTTGGATTCAACCTCTTTTCGCCCCTGGATTGTTGACTCAGATGTCTCCGATCATATGACCGAGGATATCTTATTAATAGATTACCGGCCGTGTAATCCTACCCTCACTGTTCGGATTGCTGATGGATCAGCCTCCAAAGTTGCTGGTCTTGGTTCGTCTGCATCGCTCCAGATTTATTCCTCACTTCTGTTCTTCATGTTCCTACTTTGGATTGTAATTTGATCTCTATTAGTAAGCTCACTCATGATTGTCATTGTGTTGCTAAATTTTTTCCATATATTTGTGAATTTCAGGATTTGAAGTCGGGGAGGATGATTAGCAATGCTGAGTTGCGCAGTGATATTTATCTTCTCAACAAACCCTCTGTCAGTCTAGTCTCACTTACCGGTTGTATTCCAGTATCAAGTTTGTTTTGCTTAAATCCGCTTAGTACATCTGTATTTCATTCCAGCGTTAATAATGATAGTGAAATCATGTTATTTCATTATCGTTTAGGTCATCCCAATTTATTGTACCATGGGAAACTATTTCCTCATTTGTTTATTAATAAAAGTCTTACCTCTTTTAATTGCAAATTTTGTCAACTTGCCAAACACACTCGTACTTCATTTCCTCGTTTATCATACAGACTCACTTGTCCCTTTTCTCTGATCCATAGTGACGTCTGGGGTCCTCGTGAAAAAAATATTTCTAGGGCTCAATTGTTCGTGTTCTTTATTGATGATCACACACGGGTGGCATGGATCTATCTTATGCGTGACAAATCCTAGGTAGGACCAATATTTCGTGCATTCTATCAAATGATACTCACTCAATTTGACACAAAAATCCAGGCTCTTAAAACAGATAATGCACGAGAACTTTTCTTACTCAACATGACATCCTTCACCTTGGCACGTGTGTTAATACTCCCCAACAAAATGGGGTTGTCGAGCGGAAAAATCGTCACTTGTTGGAGGTAGCCCG